CTTGAAGATAACTGCGCTTTTAATTGCACAGTTATCTTCAAGAATTCATTTGAATGTCTTCCCGATTGAATTTTTACCTGAAATTTGGTATGAGTGAACTAGACTTAATGAATAAGATGTTCAAAAAATTTCATCAAAAAATTCCATCAAGAACCGTCCCAAATGGCGACGGCCAGATAGAATCTCCTATATAAGGACTTATTTGACTCTTTTTATGCAACTTCGAGGACCAAACTGATCCTTTACTCCTATCCGGCCATGGTGGGTACCCAATCCAAATTCAGTAAAGGGCAAAACAATATTTTTGTTTTCTTTTTTGGTTTCAGGCTTTCAGCCTTGGACCCGATAATAAATAATCAACTGAACCAGGTCCAGAACCGACTAGGTACCCAGAACCAGAAATAACTAGGTTGGGCCTAAGGATGGACTGGGAAGAGTCAACCCGACCGAGGCCCAATGTCTATAAGGGCAGGCTTCAAACTCGTTTTTTAATGCCTGGCCGAGCCGGGGCTGGCCCCGATTGCACTATTTTTTAAATTTGTTGCTTAGGCCCAACCCGATCCCAGTACTGTTTATGGGTGGACTCGGGCCAGGCGGCCTGGCCCAGAACCGGCCCGGTTACTGTTTGAACCGGCCCGGCCCGGGAACCGGTCCGGGGGGGGCAGTTCGGGTCAACCCGGCCCAATAGGAATGCAGTTCGGGCTCGGGCCCTAGGATTGGTGAACCGGCCCGGCCAGTTCGGGCCCGGTCCGGGCGAAATTATTATTTTTTTTTGAGTTTTTTTTAAGTTTTTGGGTTGAGCTAGGTATTTTGGGCCATTTGAGGTGGTTTGGGGGTGAGGAGAGAGGGTTGGGGGTTAATTAGGAAAAGCCAAAAAAAAATAGAACCGAGGCCCGGCCCGGACCCAGGCCGGTTCCGGGCCTCCCATTCCTGAACCGAGGCCTGGCCGGGCTCAGGCCCGAACCGGTCCGAGTCCACTCATAGTACTGTTTAGGCCCGGCCCGGCCCGGTACAAACCCGGGCCTGTACGGGCCTGAAATTTGTAGTCACGGCCCGAAGCCCGGCCTGATCCCAGTCCAGTCCATCCCTAATTCTGGGCCAAGTCTTCAATAAAATTTAGTAAGGACCGAGCAGTCTAGGCCCAGAACGAGGACCGGATCGGCCCAACTCCATGCCTACCTAGAACCCATGTGTAAACCAGCAAAAAAACATAAGTAATGAAGGCATATCTCCAGCAGCCTTCAAACACAAAAACTACAATAATCAAGGCCTACACGACACAACAATCACACGCCACGAGGGCCAAGAGCCAGAGCGCAACAACAAACAGCTCTAACAGAACAACAAAACAGCCTTCATGTTGGGGGGTATAACCATAACCAAAAGTAATGGAGGCATATCCCCATCACCTTAGTATGCAAGATTAAGGTACTTATGAACGGCAAAGGCATGTAATATAGCTCAGTTGCTTGTGCGGTTATGCCACAAGAGCATGTAGAAATATCACATAAGCATGAACGGAAAATTGGAGAAATTATACGATAATATAAACTTATGGTCATACATTTCTCAAGGAATGAGATAACAAGTTTATGTTGCATTTAACAAAATATGATAGCTCATACAAAGACTGCGGCTTATGCTAATTCATCTTACTGATTAAGTCATTGATATGACATTCACGGTTTCCACATTCTCCTCCATCTGAATATCGTATCTTCTTTGTTTGCAATGCTTTTTCTGGCTTGTTCAGAGGGAAGGGGTATAGAAAGCTACTTACATCCTTGAAGTGTGGTCCAACATTAGCAATCTCATTAATTATGTCCTCTAAGCATATTATGCCAACATGTTGACCCAGTGCCTGCCAGAAAAAGTAACATGTTATGCACTTATGTTTAATGCTAAAAAAATGCCAATTTGCACAATTGGTCAAACTTTTAAAACAGCCTGAACTGAACTGACACTACACTTGATTGCTTTACCGGGAACTAAAGCAAATTAAAACGCTTTAAATTTAATCATTTCAGTTTATCCTAATTTTTTGTTTTAAAAAACGTTAATCACTTTAGATTTCAACATTTTTACAATTGCATTCAAAATAGCCAATAGCCTAAATATGGAGTACTACATAAATCTCAAACTAAGCCAATAACCTAAGTCCAAAGAGCATACAAAGTTACAAACAGTATAGGTTAATACTCAATGAACAGAAAATAAAAATAAAAATTTATAATAATACAACTAGTCATGCAAAACCATGACATATAGATTAAGAAAAAATATATAATGCTAATTTTATTATTCCCATAGTTTTAGAACGGCATGAGGATCTATGAAGTGATTTTGTTATATTTAGCCGAGGCACGAAGCAAAGGCGCACGCCTCATGGAACTAAAGCATACAGATCAAGGTTGTTAAAATCATATTTTTATATCGAATCGGAATAAGGATTCGAAAATTGATTTATAAAATCAAATCATAAATCGTAAAATTTATAAGAAAATTAAATAAAAATTACTAGAAATACTATATAAAAGGAAACTTACAATTTAACATTAACTAGTCAAACTATTACAAGTTTAAGTCTATAAGTCAAGCGGTTATATGCATTATATGTTTGAGTCTTACAATAATGTCTCAACTAATTAACTAAAGTGAACAAAATAATAAATAACATAATAATGTTGCATAATTAAAGAATGAAAGTCACTCAATCAATTGATACAATGATACAATCATTGTAAACATTAGTAAATAGTAATAAGTACGTAAAAAAGTGTATTTTATCTAAAGAGAGTTCCATTATTTACTAAGTTGGGGTGAGAGGTGGCAAAGTAAACTAATTCCATTTCATTAGCCGCGGCTTTGTATCCAAGCCGAGATTGCATGAGCCGCAGCTTTAGGACTATCATAAAGAATGATTACAAATTAAAGCTTTCCGGCTACAATCAGAAAGATTATATTAAGGCTTCCGGTTAGACTACTGTAAAGATAACAAGTTAGCTTTAAGACTTCTAATTAAAATATGAAGGCTTCATGTTATAAATTGGAATTTTAATGTTAACTTTAGCTTTCCGCCGTTTCCGGAAACACAAAACTAGGTCGGTACGCATATAGTCATGCACACAGACTGGGCAAGTACTTGATTTATAAAAATAAAGAAAGGGGGAATGGACACAAAAGCTGTGATCGGAGCTAAAGAGGAGAGCATGAGTCAAGCAGAAAATAGGAAATTGATAAAAGTGGGAAAATAGGAAAAGATTAAGAGAAGAAAGGAAAGAGAAAAGCTTACATAAAAGAGGACACCATGCAATGGGGAAGAATTTAGTTTGGGAGAAACAAGAAGAGTCGGAGTGGTTTTGGACTGAATCACAGTACCTCTTATTAAATACTCCCCAAATAAACTGCCAAAAAAATCAGGGGAAGAGACTAATTTGTAATAAATTAGAAGAGATCAAGGTAGTCAAAAGCGAGCGCCTGGGCGCTTAAGCGCACCAGGCGCAGCGCAAAAGAGGTTTAGCGACTGAAGAATGGCTAGGCGCAGCTCCCTGTCTAAAGCGCAGTTTAGGCGCAAAAGCGCTGAAGCGCAGAACCTGAGAAAAGTGCACGCTTAAGTCGCCTGGGGTGGAAAAGGCTAATGAGCCTATTTTTTAGTTTGATCCTACTTTAAATAATAAGCCCATATTGGTAATAAGATTTAGTCCATCCAAATAATAGGTAAAAACAACTTGACCCCATATTAAACCCTTCTTAGTCGTGGGAAAAGCCTTCTATCTGGAGTCTTTACTTCATCGTGAATCTCCTACGCTGCTATAAGCTCTACTTGCGCAACATTCTCAGCACTGAAACACATTCATCGAACCCACAAAGCCAGAAACCCATAAGGTGTCTTCATCATCATCATCATCTTCTTCTCATGTTATTTCTTCTTTCTTTTTCAGCTTGTAGTTTTTTTTTATTATGTCTTTTTTCTTGGTGATCCTTTCGTTCTATTCTTTCAGTCTATCTTCTTTCTTTACTTTTATTAGTTCCAGTCATCTATGCATACTTTTTAGTTCTTTTTGCTTCCAATATATTCTATACAACTCAAGCATATTATATGCACCAGACTACCGGTTTACATTATATGTACTCTATTGTTTTATCTTATTAAACAAACTATAACTCTATATCTTCCTATTATCATTTCATATTTTAACTGTATAAAAACATCATATAATCTAACTCAGTTAATAGTTTCATACACTATATAATTTATGCTATTTCTAGTGCTAAAATTGCAAAATCAACAAAGACATACCAGACCCCACTTGTTTTTTTTGTGAACAATGGCTTTATTTTGGTGAATCATGACTTTATTTTTAAGAAAAATGACTTTTTGATGCAGTTAGTTCAATATGATGTTGAATATGTCATATTTGATCACTCTAGAATAGTATACATAATATTTTCTAAATAGTGCGCTTGACCCGAGTCAGGCGAGCGCTTTTTTGCGCCTTGCGCCTCAGGCGCTGGAAAACCCCCAGCGCTTCAAGTGCGCCTTTCGCCTTTGACCTACCTTGGAAGAGATGGAATGGTTTTGGACTTTGAAGTACTACGCAGAAGAAGAAAACTCTAGGAAAAATAAATAGAGACTGACAAGTGACAAATAAATCGCCAAATTTACAAAAATCACTAGGGAGGCTAATGAGTTCACCTCCTGAGGAGCAAAAACGCGGAAAGAAGCGGGGAAAGGGTACACTTAATGGAATCTGCTGCACCCAAGATATGTGTTGCGATTTTTTCATCACATATCTACACTTTGCACACTTTTTTAACTAAAACTATTCCTTCCAGTCAGCTGAGTTAAAAACCAAACTAAAAGAATTGCTAACAATGGAAAACCAGATCAAATTTGTAGTTTGTTTTTTTGTTGGAACTGAATTTTTTGTTTTGGTCTGAAAGTGCGAACCCCAAGCAATGCCACAGAAATACACAATGACTTGATAAAGTGATAATACCTGTTCAATGATGTTATTGTCTGTCAAAGGCACTCTTTGTTTACCAACTTTTCCAGTCCCTTTCTTGAAAATCAGATCCCTCACGCTCTTGAGATTAGGATACCTTCAATCATGAAAGTGTAAGAAATTAGTGGGGGGAAGATGTCACATGTTCTCTGTTTCAGTTAAAACATACGGAGTATGAATTATTAGAGTAAAAAATGAATGTTGCAAAATATATCTCTTCAAAACTAGTCTCCACAAAACAAAGAAGTACGCAGTATTATACAATATAATCACATAAAAAAACCTTACTGAATATCCAACTTCAAAAAACAAATTTGAACTTAAATAGAGAAAGAGCAGAAGTAACTTCTCCTTACTTCTTTGTCAATTATCAATAAGATAAAATAACAGAAATAATATTTAGGAGATAAAGTATTAGATGACTATCATTATGCTTGAAAGCCTACATATTATAGTAATTAATATCATTTTCACACAATATGTTACTCTTTATGCAATGAGATATAATTTCTAGTTTCTTTATTCTTCATCATTTATCCTCCAAACAAGCAATAAGATATCTCGCCCAAAATCTTATTTTATACTTCAAGGCGCCACTAAAATAAGACATCCAAAACCATCAAAATTCAAAAGTCAAAACAATAAGCAACACAGCTACTTATTTGTACTGGATGTGGAGATCAACTCATCGTACCCATATGTGACGTAAGGCTCCAACTTCTGCAAAATTCCTAATGCTCTTTCATCAGCCTTTAGAAATACCCCATCAAATACTCTCCCCAGCCTCAATGAGTATAAATACTTTCGTGTTTTCGGATGCATATCATTTTTCCTGAATGATTCGCAATGTTAGAACCACAAAGAAGCAGTGCAAATAAAAGACTACAAGCAGTGTAGACATGCAGGTAACACACCCTCCAATACGTATGACAAAAAGCAGTTTGGATGTTGGGAACGCTGGTAATCTCCTTTTACCCCTCTGTTTCATTCTTACCAGGTCCAACTCCTGAGAAAAAGAAAAAAGAAAAAAAAAAAGAGAATACTAAGATATATAAAGAGAATATCTTACATCATGAGAATGCTAACACTGTGTTTTACAGAATTGCACAGCCAACATAGGAAGCGTTTGAAGGAACCACAAAGGGCACTGTCTAGGTGTCACCATGAAATAGGTTTACAATAAATTGTAAATATGCATAGTTTTTCCAAAATTAAATAACTAACAACTAAATATGATTTTTATATCCATGCCATGTAAAAAACACCAACTTACATTTGATCAATCATTAAAAGATTGTGTGTGAAATGAGATTCAGAGAGAAGGAGAGTAGTTTCTGTATTTCGTTTACAAGAATAATAATAAGAGGCCAGACGCCCTCATCAGCTTTGGAACCAAGGAGGCTGACCATCTTTCACCTGCCTAGGCTGCTGTTTAGGACATCGCACCCAACATACTAACAAAAATCATTTCAAGACTGAGACCACATAGGTCATGTAACATAGGAGTTGATTTAAAAAACTAGAAGCAGGTATACTACCCAAACATGAAGCTAGAATCACACAAAAGATGATAGTGACTACCCAATCTTGTATGAATCAAGTCTAATTAACAAATAATCCATATACTGTCTTTCTATCCATATTCAAAGTTTGTTGACTTCAATGGGAGAATGAAAAGTTGCAGTTAGAAAGTGAAAATTGTGGTTATGGAGTAACAACCAATTGAAGAAATGTCATTACATATGCAATTTTTAAACACAGCTAAAAACAGTTTAACAAATGGCACTACATATGCAATAATTCATGTATTCCTTTAGTTTAAATAGCTCAACATGCACTGTTTAGTTTAAATAGCTCAACATGCACTGTTTAGTTTAAATAGCTCAACACGTCAACACGACTATGAAGGACACAATTTCCTCATCGGATAAGACACCGGAAAACATTTATGGTACTGACTTAGGTCAAAATCTTTTACCTTGTCTCGATATTCTTTAATGAACTGTTCGGGCTTCTTGATGATGAAGCTATCAGATTTGAGCTTCCTGACTTTCTGCTCCAGCTGATGCTTCCTTCGTATGGCCCACTCCTCATTGTTTCTCCTCTTCTTCAGCACAACCTCATCTATGTAAGTCAGAGGCTGCTCCTCTCCCTCCGCCGCCATGTCTGCGTGCAGTCTCCGGAATAATACGAGGGCAGGGCGTGATAGAAAGTGGGAGTTCTGGCTTTGTGAAGCCCTAGTCACCTAATAAAACCGTCGGATGTTAACTCTCTGGAAACCTTGGGTGATTGAGTTCGTTAGGTTTTAGGATGTTTTTAAGTGACACCAATTTGTTGGCCTGAACTGGTCTGGTCTGAATTGATTTGGTTTGGTCTGGTCTAAATTGGTCTGATTTGATCTGGTCTGGTTTTTTGTATTTTTAAAATTATTCAAGTCTGGCCTGAGACAAATTATAATCCAAATAAAAACATCATTAATATCAGATTTCAATTCAACTCACAAAATTCACAAAATAGGAAAATATGATAGTTATATTTTTATCCTTTAAATATAAATAATTATTGTCCAATGTGAAAAATACTGTCATATTTAAAGTCTAACATTGTTCAAACATGACACTAATTACTCTTATTCAGATAACAAAAACATGACAATGTTATTTTAAAATACACAAACATTTTACTCCAATTTAAAGCAATCTTTGTACTTTTAATCTTTTTCATTTAACATTTGTTTAATTTATTAAAAAGGTATGTAGTATGTAGTATATTTTAAGTATTTTTTTCATATTTCAAAAAAATCGGTTATTTTAGTCATAACTTCAGCAGAAACATCTAACTTTATAGTTACTCAACAATTGGATACTTGATTTTCCTTTTAAACTAATTTTTTTTACTTTCAAAAGACATTTCCCTCCGTCCCTATATAAAAAATCTCATTCCTTTTACACATAATTTAAGAAGGTGGATTTATGTGACACTGTTTGGACATTGTTTGATACTGTTTTGCGCACTTTTTGGCAAATTATACCGTGCAACCGGCATACCATGAGCATGGTATGCCGGTGCCATACGGTGCCGTTCCATTAATTAAAAATCATCCCAACCATCTTTTCTTCTCTGCCAAGCTATCCTCCTGGGGTCGTCGTCCGCTATTGCTATACCGTTCCTTCTCCTTTATCCCCTCCGATCCGCTTCAGTTGCAAGAAGTTAAACGGCAAAAATTCATACGGTTCCAGAAACTCTCGAAGATGGGAATGAATATTTCCAGTGAATTGAAATACATGTCGGTAAATTAAATTTGCTTCCACTAAGTCACCGACTAAGAAAAGTTATTAAGTGCTTTGTGTTTTTAATTTTGGGAATGATCATGCTTTTCAATTTCTTGAAGCTTCTTGACCATTGTAATCCAGAATACACAACGAAGCTATGCATTAAAATGATCATTTTGTGTATTAATGAAGATATTATTATTCCTTTAAATTTAACACGAGAGTTACATTTGGTAATATATGAAGTTACATCTTATTATTAGTGAATTACATCTTAATGTACGCGAGTTACACCATGAAATAAACTCTCTTAATGACATATATAATTTTTTTCTTTTATTAAATGTATGTGTGTATATGTATATAAGATGTTTACATTTTAATTTATCTAGAATTACATGTTAATATACGCGAATTACATCTTAATGTACACGAGTTACACCACTAAATAAACTATGCTAATGATCAACAAATTATTTTTTAACTAAATCAATTTTTTATAGCCCTAATATTAAAAATAATTCAAAACATATTCACTACTTATAAAAAGTATTTGAGAATTAGGATCAATTTTTCATTATTTACATTGAAATCAATGTGTTTCTCATACATCAACTTACATATCAACTTGACTTAAGTTACACTTCCTATAAACGTGAGTTACATTTTTTTAAGTGAGAGTTATATCACCCTGTTACTGAAACCTAAAAAAATTATTGTTCATCTGCGGGTACTGTTCATCCGTGTTTTACCCCTGGGAGCATGATGCTCATTGTACACCGGTACCACGGTATACGAACTGACACTTTTTTGTCTGTCAAAAAGAGAAAAAGATCTTTATTTAGAGACGGCTCGAAAAGGAAAGAGGTGCTTTTATTTAGGGACGGAGAGAGTAATAAAATTTGGAATATTTTAATAAACCATCCACATTTAGTTTTTATTCTTTATATTTTTTAATAATCTAGAAATTAGGTGAGACTAAATTGTCAAAAAAAAAACAATTTAGGACTTTAATTACTAATAAGCATTTTTGAAAAATATTGATGTGATTTAAGTTCTCATGACTCATGAGCACTTAATACAACTCAAATGAATAAGTACATATATTATTTGGAAATGCTTGTCTTCATGTTATGAGTCAAAACTTTTTGAGTTTTGCTTAATATATGAGTGTGATCATAATTAATAAATAAAAGAAAAAAGGGTCATATAGAGCCTCGAACTTATATAAAAATGTCATTTAAGGCCTTATATAGGAGGCTATGTGCGGCCGTCGCCATTTGTGACGGTTCCTGGTGGAATTTTTTGAGCATCTTATTCATTAAGTTATCTTCAAGAATTCATTTGAATGCCTTAAATTCTTGAAAATAAGACATCCAAAACCATCAAAAGTCAAAATAATAAGCAACACAGCTACATATTTGAATGTCTTCCCGATTAATGTTTTAGCTGAAATTTGGTATGAGTAAACTAGACTTAATGAATAAGATGCTCAAAAAAAAATCATCAAAAAATTACACTGGGAACCGCCCCAAATGGCGACGGCCTCACATAGCCTCCTATATAAGACCTTATTTGACATTTTTATGTAAGTTCAAAGTCTATCTCACCCTTTTCCCTAAATAAAAAAGTAATTTGAAGCGTGATATGTTGATTGTAGATCAAAAGTGTCTTCATAAGGTGGGTCGTGTACTTGACCACATTGGCTCCATGGCTCCATCATCACTCGGACGAATGGTTTTGGATGCTAAGGTGGGCCGTGTATGGTTCTCCTACGACAACTCTCATAATATCGTTGAACCTCTAGTCCTCTACCTCAAAGTCCTCCAACACAGCGGCCATGGCACCTTTACGGGCATGCTCAACGCAAAATTGGACTCAGGGTGATAGACTCTCTTACCCATTTACCCTCTCATAAATTAATAATTGCTTAATAATAATAATAACTCAATGAGATCATAAGATGCAAATTAGATTAGATCATATCAGAAAATTCAGATCAGATAGTTAAAAACATCAAATCAAAAACATTCAAATGAGACGAACTGAACAAATTCTAACGTAGACCAACACTCCAATTGCTTATTAGAGCTCTACGAAATGCATGTTTAGTAGACATAAACTCATACCTTCTACTTTTGTATAATCTAAAAAATCTTAAAAGTTTGTAATTGTATGTTTGTCACTACAATTTTAAGAATTTTCTTCAAATTAAAAGATATTATTGAGAAGCTATGCAAGGTAACATCAGCAAAATCCGTAGCTTTAACCATAAATTAGTCACAACATTTTGTATATTAATAGAACTAAATCATTTTTATCAAACAACTATCGCATTTTTTGTAAGATCTTTTCAGTCACCAAAAGCTAACAATTGTTAAAAAACTCACAAAAATATCTTTTTCAACAAGTTGTGTCAAATATATCCTAATAGTATTCTAGAACAACACTATTACCCGTAGCTGATAGCCTGATAGTATCATAGTAACATAAAAGAAACCGTTCTCCCAATCTCCCGTTTCTCCAAAATAAACATGGACATGACTGGTTCAAATTTCGGGTTTCTGAAAAAGGCTAAAATTTGGTACAAAATCAAGTTCCCGAACCAGATCGGTTAGTGCTGCAATTAGATGTGGAACTGAGCTAGAAAATCTGACTAGGTCCATATGTAAAAACTAATACTTTGCCACAGTTTGCTGGAGTGGAAAATTGAAGAAAAATGCTAAAAACACAAACTTACAAAAAAAAAACTTACACACAAGTGTGGATATTGCAATCATCTTTGATGTAAAAGTAATGTAATGTGCTCATGTGCTAAACAATAAGATACTATCACATATCTTTTTTATAAGAATTTCTATAATAGTGTTATGTACCTCTAGCATAATTCAAAACTGAAAGTTTCTCATCAGAACTTGAGTGCTTCCATCTGACGATCTTAAACCAACCACAGTGCCTGACGCAACATCGGACTTTCAAAATGACTACTAAAGTACTAATATGTGAAACTAGGAGAAACTTTAAGTGGAACGATTGAACTAGTAAATATCATTAAATTTACCTCTATTCATTCATATATATGTTACAACACACGAGATGTCACTAGTAGTATAACTTCAACCAACAAAAAATGAATGGATATGAACAAACAAGATGCTGATCTATGTTTGCAAAGACAGCCGCCCCCTTCTTCTAATAACTGGTTAGTCAAATTTGGCAAATATGGTTGAAATTTTCCATTGGGTACTTGAACCCACCATCATCCGTCTATACATCTATATGCAAGCGCCGCATTTCGGATAAAAATGTTGGGCTTGAAGCCAGCGTCTGGCGTGCAAGTAACTTTATGTCATCACGTGTGCAGTCACGTGAGATACGATACAGCTCCCAGAGGGCTCCCCCGCTAATCATGTCTTTTGCATTTACTTCTGTAGGGGGGAAAGGAAAAACATTGTTCAGAAGCTAGACAACAAACATACAAAACCTCTACAAAGAAGCACAGTTCTCTGAGAAGCTCTCACATACCATGTTGTGCGAGGTGGCAAAGTGCAAGCTCCACGTGTCGTCTAATAAGTGAGGCTTCATTATTGGCATTTTGCACAATCCATGGTAGTGCCCCATCTTCTATTAGAAGGGACCGTCCAAGTTTTATGCCTACCATGATATAATCTCGATCAAAAAATATTATACATTTATACGGCCTAATTAATACATATATCCTTTTAAATTAATTTACTATCTTAGACAGTTAGACCCAAAGAAAGTGCTGAGCGTCCGTCAAGAGGAAGACGGAGGGTTAGCGCCTAGCAAGGGATTATTCAGGGTTAGGCGGGAACTAAATGTAATTAGAAGAAAAGGCATTAGGCACTATAGGAAGGCCTAGTGTCTGGGGGGGTTATTAAAACTCTTAGCAGATTAAGGCTCCGTCTGGTAGATAATCGGCTTATTCTCCACAGT